TTTTTTTTTTTTTTTTTTTCAACCCTAACCCTTCATCCAAGTCATCAGTTTTCTTTTGAGGGGGAATATAAAAAGATAGTTGAAATGAACAGTAAGAGGAGTTTGACGGTAGAACTCCTTACCCAGAGAGTCTCCTCTTTACTGTGTTCAGTCAGAAGCTAGACAGCCATCTGTCAGGGATCCTTGAACCCTATAGGGCAAGATGTGAACCCATCCATTGTAGATGTGGCCATATAGGAAGGCAGAAAATAGTCTCTGAATAATGTAATTTATTTTTCACATTTTAAAATATTGATGACTCTAATTTGGCAACAAGCTCAAGGTGGCCCCCATTAATATAAAATAAACCAAATATATTGATTAGGGAATAATTAACATGTATAAAATCACAGGGTAAACAATTAACAATTCAGTGCACTGTAATATTATCTAAAAATCTGCTTCCTAAAGTAGGCTGATATGGCTATTTTTGTATCTTGACACTGAATCTCTCCTTACATATTATATGGCTCTTTGGTAAAATAGATAGCCATGTAATGTCTAAGCAGGAAAGGAGCAAAACAAAAATCCAGTTAGGCTTGACTTAAAGCCTATCATACTAGAACATAGTCCTGAAGCAGAGTGCAGCTTTTGACAGAGTTCAAGTGAGATGGCTGTTTTTGCATTTGCTTCAAATCTTTGGGAGCTGATATATAACAGAAAGTCTAGTTTATCTAATTATCAAATCAAATTGAAAAAATAGTCATTAACTCTGCCTGAAATTGATAATTATTATAAAGGTCATTCTAGTCATGGCAATTTTCTTAGGGATTACAGTCCAGAGATATAATGAATCAAAAATTAATTATTATTTGAATTAAAGGAAAAAACAGGGAGGGGAGTTTTATTTCCTCTGACCCAGTCTTACATAATCCGGTATCTTGGGTATCTGATAAATTTCAATTGTTGGTTAGAAAGGCCAAATGCAATATATCTGGAACCAGGCCTTTGTAATTAGTATCTGAGTTAAAGATAAGATGTCATCCTCCATTCTGCATGTAAAACCAGCATGGCATAGTGGCTAAGGCAGCCTGTCTGATGTCAGAGCTAAGGGATTATTTGAAGACCAGGATCCCTCACCCAGCTGTAGAAGCTCCCTGGGTGAATTTGGGCCAGTCTCTCTCTCCTGGAGTCATTGTTGTGGGGAAAAACAGGAGGAACTCCTGCCTATATCACCCTCAGCTCTTGGATGGACGGCAGGATAGAAATCTAACAAACAAATAAATAAAATATAGAAACTAGTCAGCCTACCAGCTGAATCTGACAGCTTACAGTTTGAGGAATCAGGACAGATAAGCAGCATGCACTCATTTTCTTCATGTTAGGTTCCTATTAATTTGTCTGTTTTGTATATTGGTTTTTAAAGATGCCATTAGTGTATTGAAGTCCACCCTGAGTCATCAGATTCAGCAGTATGCAAACATAATAAATAAATGTGTTTCCTCCAATAGAAGGCAATTGATGAGAAGCTAGGGAAGAACAGTAAAGGGGTCTGCTTCGCGCTGCCCAAGGCAGGCACCAAACTGAGATCATACAAAGCAGACTTTCCTAATCATATTTATTTGGAAGCAAATTCTGTGATTGCAATAGAGTTGCAGTTTCCTTCAGTGGTGTACCTAGCAAATTTGACACCCACAATGATTCTTTTTTATAACACTCCCCTCTATTGCTAACAGCTAGTTTGGTGTAGTGATTAAAGCATTAGGCAAGAAATCAAGCAACTCTTATTCTAGTCCCACCTTAGCCAGCGAGATAAACTTGGCCCACCCACTTCTTTTAGTCCTAGCAATATGACCCAGGCAAACCACTTTCAAAAAAGGCTGCCAAAGAAACTGCAGAGAACAGTTGCCAGATGTCAAAACTGACTCAAAGGCACAACTTTTTCCTTTGTCACTGCTGCTCTGCCAAACAGCTGATTGCCGGGCGGGCGGGAGCAATGCAAGTCCACACTCACAGCCAGTCTCTTTGTGTCTTTGACTGCACCCCTCTTATTGCCTGCAACCATAGAGGACCACCCCCCTGCCCCCTTTGGGTACCATAGTTTCTTTCACTTTGGGGCTCATAATTAAGTGACCAATAGCAGGACTGTAAAAGTCAATGAGTTTCATGCACATGGTATTCATTTTTCTTCCTCACATTATTTTGTCACCAGGATCTTTTCACCTTATTCACCTGATGTTTGATGACTATGTGTTGTACTTGTTAGAATCACTCCATTGCCAGGAGAGAGCCAATGAACTGATGAGGGCGATGAAAGGAGGAGCTGGAATAGGTAAGGTGGTTCTCTTGAAATTAATCAGTCCACCCCAAATATTGTCTATATTTGTCATTATGGTGGAAAAAATGTGGCCATGGGACATCTGTTTTTCTCTGTGGTACACATGACAAAAATCAATTGGGTACTGGCTGGGCTCACACATTATGATAAGCCATAATGCCATTTGCCTGGCTTTGTTATATGATCCCAGTCATCTTGATTTCTGTACCCTGGGTTATGGGTTAATACTCAATGGTTAGGAAGAGGCTTTGCAGGCAAAAACTTCTTTGTTAGAGACTCTGAGGAGCTGTTGGCAATACTGGGCTAGATGAACCAGTTTCATAAATCAGAAATCTACAGTATACTGTATGAGCTTTCCTGTAGCATGTATCTTGTCTAAATCAGGACAAAGGAAAAGCTTGAGTCTGCAGGCTTGAAGCCTCTTATTGCATAGAATTGATCAGGTCCATGCTAAGAAAG